CCATCTCCTAAAATCAGAGGCTGAAAATTCTGTTGTTATTGCTACACTGCTCTCTTCCCATGGTTACATTTTCCAGTTGTGCCTTTGATGTCCTTTTTTAATCAAATCTAGCTGGATACAAAATCCACTGATCCCTCCCCTCCCAACCTTCCCCACACTCTCCCCCACACACACATTGTTCAGTTCACGTCCCTCTCATGGTGTCCAGAGCCAGCATAGTGCACAGAGCTGTTTAGCACAAACCATGTGCTACTCATGACAAACAACATGCCACTAAATCTCCACTACCATGGAGACTGCTTCATGGAAAGGAGAAAGCAAAGATGTACGGGTCATCCAGTAAAGAGCATTTCTATTTCTTATTATTTACCTGATTGCAGATCTGTGGCTAATTCTTGCCTCTTGCATATTGCCAGGGAACCTGACTTTCTCTGATAGCCAGTGGCTTGATCCTTTAGTCATGGAAGTCGATAGCAAAACTCCCACTAACATCAATAATGCAGGGGCGTGTCCCAAATGAACACTAGAGCCTCTTGCAAAGCTCACTAAAGTCAATGGGAGACTTTCTGATGTGTTCCGTGAGCGTTGGATCAGGCTGTAATCTAGCATGTCCCCTTTAGCAATAGAAAATATAGCACTATTCTACAGCAATGATCCCCAACTCTGGGCTCACCACTGAACGTTCTACTGGTTTGGACTATTGCACTAGAACTGTGTAAAAAAGGGTGCCAATTAGCGTTTCCTGTAAGCTGTACGCCTGCGCAGCCACTCAAGAGATTCAAATGCCGCCCAGTGAATTAGCAGAGCACCCACCACTAGGTTTTTTGTTTCTACAGCTGGTGCACAAGCTTTGGTGCATATAAATGTTATTCTGCACATGGATGGAAAAGATTAGTGGGAACATTGACGTCAGTGATTAAAGAGACAGTTACCTGTTTCCCTAACGGGTGTTCTTCAAGATGTGTTGCTCGTGACCATTCCACATGAGGTGTGTGCGCTCGCCACAGGCACCAATGCCGGATGTTTTTCCCTTAGCAGTATCTGTAGGGGAGCGGCTCTGGTGCCTTCTGGAGAGGTGTCCTCATGGCTTGCCCACTCCTCACACTCTCAGTTCCTTCCTGCTGGAAACTCCGACTGCAGGGAAGGAGGGCGGGGTCATGGAATGGACATAAGCAACACATCTCAAAGAGGTAACTGTCTTTTCTTCCTCGAGTGATTGCTCATGCCCATTCCACACTAGGTGACGCCAAGCCAAGAGTGGGCAATAATTTTTGCAGGGAGACCACTTCACAAATTTTCATACATGGTTGTGAGCCGGCTCTGGGCACCCTGGAAGGGGCGGGTCCTAAGGCAGAAAGGGTGGGGTTCGAGTACAGGGGCAGGGAACACTGCCTTCAGCCTTCCCTTCTCCCCCTCCATCCTTCCTCGATCTGCACAGCTGACAGGAGACTCCTGGGAGCAGGACAGACCAAGGTGGGGGGAGGGGAAGCTGAACACCCATGCTGCTAGCTGGACGTATGCACGCTCTGCTCATCAGCTGGGCGGGCCTGACTTTGCCCACCCGCTGCTTCAAGCATGACCATAACCTGCCTCTGAGGGTCCTGAAGATTGTAGCACAGCTC